AGGACGACCACCCGTTCTGGGGCCACTGGGGTGTTCACTCATGAGGAAGCACCAGGAAGCCCCATCGAGGCACTTGAGGCCTTGTTGCTCGGAGTTGACTTTCTATTGCATGATCTTACATGGCATAGGCATAGGGGGTTCAGCGAGGGAAGTCCAGCGCCAAAAGATAAGAAAAAACAGAAAAGGACCCAGCCCCCCGGCCCCACGGTGGAAGAAATGAGTTCGTCTCCATCTCCAAGGCTCCTTCTCCATTTCCAGCTCTAAACGAGCCTCATCTGCCAACCTCTGTTGCTCATGGATCAGCCGCTGCTGCGCCATCAGCTCATCCTGCAACTCGGGCTCGTTGGAAGCCATCTGCCGGATTTGAGCCATCTGCCCGGCCTCTCGGACTCCGGCACATCCCGTGCGGCGTGGTGAGGCACGAAACCCTCGCTTTGATCGCCCGGTAGACTGAGCAGGCCCATCTATGTTCCGAAGCTTGAAGGGGATAGTTGCCTGGCAAGTCTCCCTACTTTCACTCCCAAATCCTCCAAGGTAGTCCCTGGATTCTCTTGGAGGGAAGGAGCGGGACTACCATCAATCCTCTAAATGGGTGGAATACAGAACCCCCAGACCATGAGTTCCCCACAGCTGAGTCCCTTGTGAAGAGTGGCTTCTTCTGCCAACCATTGGGCGTTCGATTTCGACATTGGCACGAAGAGCATGTGTACACCTCATGGAACCACCAATCTGCAGCAAGAGTGGACTTCCCACTGCTCACCCACGACGCTAGATTCCGTAGATGCCACATGGCTGGGAGTCATGTCATGTCACGCCAATGCCCCGGCAGTTCACATCCCAAAGGAATGAACACCGAAGTTCACTCACCCCCGGTCGTCAGCACAATCCTACAGTCCTAGTTCCTTCGGCCTGAGCGATGGACCCATGTACAAGGACATCTCAAATGATTAAGCTCTCCAAAAACTCATTTTTATATATTCCCGCACCACGGCAAGGGTGTCCATTAATAGCCCCTTAGAGATTAAGGGGTGTCCATGAACCACCCCTTGGTCCAGGTTTATAATGTTTAAAACTCAAACGCTCATTCTTTAAAATGTCTGTTTAACAAAAAGCATCTGGTGAGGGCCCCCCCGACCCCCATCTCCAGCCATTGCCTCCTCCATCTTTCGGTCAAGCTCGCGGACCTCCGTTCGCATGCGGGCTCCGGTGGTGCGCAAGTGGTTCAGCGTCATGTCCATACCATCCTTGGCCAGCAAGACCTGGTTCAGGAGAAGATTCAGCGCTATTCGCTGGGAGGGTCATGGACCCTCCCGAGCAAGAGGTTTTGCAATCCATATCCGGGGGATTTGGTTCATCAAGAGTCTATGTTACCTCTCTGCAGTCCATCTCTCTCTCTCTCTCTCTCTCTCCTGTAATCCTCCATACACTTCAAGCTGGCAAGCCCTCTCATCGCAAGTGTGCCTCCTCCTTACTCATCCGTGTGTAGACCTCTGGCCCTTCCTCCCGAGCAATCTCTCGCACGGCATCGTAGACATAGGCGCCATCCGTCAGATCCCTTTCCGGCTCGGGGGGCGCTTTGGTCCTCGGAGATAGGACACCTGGGACCCCACAGAATGGGAAAGGCAAGCCACCTGCAGGTGGAAATTCTGGGGGCGTAATCTGCGGGTCGGCGACACCTGTTGCCATGGCTGGGGCAGGGGGAGGAGTTGCCCCTGCAGTGGGCATCTGCTGCAAGATGCGCTTGGTGCTCTCAGCTCGCTCCCTTTGCTCCTTCACAGCCGCATACCGCGCCTGCCATCGAGTTGTCGTCAAAATGCCTTCTGGACTTCATGTGCAGGCTTGCTTGTGGTGTCTTATTCTTGGAAACATTGCTGGGCCCTTCATGTTGGTCGCCATGTCTGCTTGCCTTACTGAAACACATCCCCCACAGCGGCGCCTGCAACTCCTTGAACTGCGCCAACTTGGCCAAGGGATCCCACTCATCTGCCACCCTCAGGGCTGTGGAATCCCCCAAAGCCTGTGAAAGCGAAGACCGAACACCATGCGGGGCGCCCCGCACGGACGCCCGCACGGGCGCCAACGCCGCAACAGTGGCCACATGGGCCAAGGGAAACTCGGACTTCAGGCTGGAATCTTGGTCCTCAAGACCAGGATGAAGGTGATTACCAGGCACTTGCATGGGGTATGGTTGAGGAGGCTTTATCATAGTGATCCCCGGTTGGTTCCCAAGTGAACAAAGTCATCACTAAAACGTTGGGGTTCAGGCCCATGAGCCACTTCCGGCTGTGCTCGACCTAAAACATTCCGCAATCCACTGTGTGATGTCATGCGGCTGAAGCCGTGGCTTGTTGAGATGACATGAGATGACACCCTGCAGCCCTCGCATGGTTGACCACGTGGTCCTGAAGCTGTGCCAGCAACTCATCAATCTTGTACTGTGGCAGCTCAAGTTCAATCTCCACATCCTGCAAATCTCTGCGGAAAACCCACACTCTATAAAAGAACAGGTTCCTTTTGGACTGTTGGGGGCTATGATGGGTGTTTTCGGAGAACACTCAGCTGTCAATGTCTGAGTCTTGAAGCCTCCTGAAGAACGTGTTTGGGGCCATCAGTTCCGCAATATACAAGACCCACATCTGCGCCTGCCTCCAATCACAAACGACCTGGAAACCCAGAAAACTCCGTCAACTGAAGACATTCCTCCTCCCCTCACCGAACCTCCAACGTGCTAACGTACTGCATGCATCCTCCAACCACTCTTCCTCACTCTTTGGCTCACCTCTTCCAGACTCCTCCTCGCCTGGTGCTCATCCGAATCGCTCTCCGGCGGGCCCCTGGGCCCCTTCGCGGGCCGGGGCGCCGGCGTGGCGGCCGTGGGCCGTGGCTCCATGGCGGCTCGGTCCCTTGGGGCGCCGAGAAGGAAGGCCGCTGGAGCCGGAGCGGCGGAGTTGGCGGGTGGGCGACCTAGGGGCAACGCGGATCACCGGCCACCTGAGCTACGCACCCCCCCTTTGTTTTGGAAGGGACATCGACATTCCAGGAAGGGTTTGATGCTCTCCAGCAAGTCTCTGCGACTTTCTTGCGCTTCGGAACTTCGTGGGTCGTGTTCATCATGGATGGTGAGGAACACCACGGAGAGAAGAAAAGGTGCTGCTTCAACACCCGCCGTCATGGCCACCGGCCGAAGGAGGACATGAACAGCTTTGTTGGAATCACACTCGGGGTCTCAGAGCGGAAACAGTGATGTCCTTACCATCATTTACTGTACCGGTACCTATGTGTTTTACCATGGGAGGGAATCCCTCTATTGACCGACCAACCAACCAACCAACCAACCAACCAACCAATATAGTAAAAGGCCATCTAAGGTATGAGGAAGAAATATGAAGAGATCACGCACGAAAGTCCGACTCTGGAGGGATTGAGTGCGTATTCCAACGATGGACCACTTGGGATTGGTTGTATCACGGGAATATCTGCCACTGAAAGCCGTGGTCTTTACATGCTTTGACTTTGACCCCCCAAAAACTATGGGTGTCCTGTTGGCTTCCCCTTGAACCAATTCCTCGCCGGCTGCTATCCCCAAAGTTGGAACGCCTCTTTTTGGGTGGCCGTCGCAGCCTCGGTCAACTTGCTATGGACTCCTAGGGGAAGTGAAAGAGCTGCAGTGCAGGCTTTTCCTGGTGGTCACCCAGAGAAGTGTCGTAACTTCTGACCATTACCTTTACATACCCTTACGAACCCCCCCTTTGACCCGCACCAAAAGAAAATCAACATGGAACCAAGAACAGGACATTGACACCGACGCCTTTTTGGTGATCCCCGATGCTTGGAGGAATTTTGGGGCACCCAACAAACACAGCCTTCAACACCTCTCTCTCTTTCGGGGACGGGTGGCCTCGTCAGCTGCACCGCCATGGCCCAAACCGCAGCGAGAGCGAGCTCTGGAGAGGGCAAGCCGGGAGGTTCATGGAGATTCTCCGGGAGCAAACGGATAAATTCGAAGAAATGCGGATGCTCGCGGAAATCTTGAAGCATCTGTATGTCTTTATGTCTACTGACTACTCATGCTGTATACCGTATATAATAATATAATCATTAATATAACTTAATATATCATTAGCAGCTTCTTCCTTCTCATCTTCACCCCAAATGAGCCGCTCCTCGCCGGCCTTTTCTTTCTCCGGCCGTTTGAAGCTCGTATGCCATTTCTTCGACTACAGGGAGGAGGATGGATTCAAAGAGAGGACTTGATGATGAACAAGACACTCAAGCCATCAAACCCTCATCCATGATGGAATGCATGATGGAATCCATGACTCCAACAACTACTATATGTGTCAAAGTGCGTCCCTCTTTGGAGTCATCCCCAACATCCCTTAAACCGTCTTGCTTACCTCTTTTGAGGCGCTTGGTGTGCCTGCGAGGTGTGCAGAAGAAGCCGTTGTCTTTTTTCTCAGCTTACGACCTGCTCTAGATAAGCCTGACAAAGGAGTTCACAAGTGCCTTGGCCATAATCGCCAAAAATCGAGGGTTTTGGGCGGCATGTGGTGCAATGGAGCCCTTTGGGGCAGCTCTCCAAGACCTGGTCTCAAACAGAATGGAGCTTATGAACCCTAGGCGAAGCGCCCAGAAACTCGAACATCTTTACACCGTCATGCAGCGGCCACGTGGCAGGCCCACTCTGGATCCACTCCGCGATCTCCGCAATTCGATCGCCGATCGATCCAAAACACTGCCGGAGGAGGCGTCGTGCCCTTTTGGGTGAAACCGTCGGGTCGGCGTGTCCAGGGATATTTTTCGAGAGGCTTTCGAAAGGCACAACCCAACCCACAAATGGGGAGTCTCAGAAGGAGTCTGAACGTGCCAAAAAGGACTCGTGGAGAAGTTCAGACCCTCTCTGAACAAAACCCTTGGAAAAAAGAAGGCTAGAGATCTCCTCTATCACTCCTCTACCGCAGGACTTGCTTTTGCCCGACCGTGGTGGATCAAATCCGCCTCTAAAAGGCCTCATTGGTGAGATTCGGCGCGGACGGATGGGTGGTCGTCAGCAAGGTCTTCACCAGGTGCACATCCTGGCGAGATCGACAGCCGGCAGTGCAACACCCGAGCTCCCACGGATCCAAAAACAGCAAGTCTGCTCATCCGCTCGAATCGGGCGGGGTGCGAAGGTTCATTCGGATCGGAACTCCCAACACCTTCGTCATGATGCGAATTCATCGGAACATCCCTTCCTTCATCGGCTCTCCGGTCCACCCTCTCTGGCAGGTGTTTCGAACGGCAACTCCACTCCGTTCCGCCGGCCGCCGTTCCGCCGGCGAGGCCGGCGAGGTCGGCGCGGCCACGCGCGACGTTTCGCTCCTGCTGCACTTGCTTCAACGCCCTTCGGGTGACCCTCGAAACGGGGCAAGGTAGTGGTCATGGGGGAACAAGGCAGAGTGCGAGTTTCATGGTGCAGAGAAAGGGCTCGGTCTCCTAACCTTGTTAGGCAATTGATCTTTTGCTTAAAGTGCTCCATCATCTTTGCTTGAGGAGAACTTCCGTGGGAGTTTCAACAACGGGCTGCAAGAAACAATCGCTTCATCAAACGTACCCATGGAAGTTCAACATGCTCAGCGTCCGCATGGTGATCAAGATGTTGATTGATTCTAAATTGATGGCCCCAGCTCCGGTTGTTCAATGAAAAAAATTGATTCACACCGATTAAGGCTCAAACAAATAGGTCCTCCCATGACCTTCACCAAATCCCCCTGTGATGACCAGGCCACTTGTGGGCCTGTCCCTGTTAGGCCTCCAACCTGTTCCTTCCAGCTTGGGTAGCGCAAGCCCCGGCAACATGCCAGCAGTATGTGCATCTATTTTGGGGTTCCCCCTCAACATTCTTAGCTTGAGGCTTAGTCTTCCCGGCAGGTGGCTAAAACAAAAACACAAAATATATGAATGCATGCGCATGTTTGTAGGTGTGTGTATATATATATATATATTAGTATATAATAGATATTGTATTTTTATGATTTTTTTAGACAATAATAGCTATATATCTACATATATATATATATGTGTGTGTATACAAATACATGTGTGTGTGTGCTGATAAATGTAGTGCTCCTACACCCAAGGTCTCCCTTGCATCCCTCCATACGTCTCCCGCGAGATCTCTCGTCTTCAACACGCTGGTCCGACTCTCCAAGGGCGCCGATTCTCGTAGCTCATCTTCGCCAGCTGCATGCTCTTCGCAGGGCCATGCAGCTGCATGCAACCTCCGCTTCGGCGGAGACCCGTGTTCGGCGGAGACCCGTTTTCGGCGGCGGGAGACCGTTGGACGTGTTCCGCGGTCCGGTGGCGGCTTTTGCTTCAGTGCTTGGCCTTCCGACCCCGCCCCTGGGATGCAGCTTCAACTCGGAGAACTTCGGAGAGGCTTCCTAGCTACTATAGTAACAAGGACGCTATTAGGTGGCCACCACTAGCAGGTTGGAGGCCATCGCTACGAACGTAACAGACACTGACTCGAAGGCGTTCAACGAAGCTCTTCAGTCCGACTTCGGTGAGGGTGGCAGCTTCGGCGGGTTTTTACGGTCGGCTCTTGGCTCCTTTTCGGTACAGCCGAAGGATGGCCACCCGGCGGATGGCCCATGAGGAAAGGTGATTTTTAAGGTGGCTTAAGAAGGTGATTCTTCCTTAAGAAGCGGTTGCAGAAGTGGTTCTTCCCGTCCTGCCTGACACAAACTCTTCCAAATCGATGGTCCCGCTCTGGTCAGTGTCCAGCAAGATGCACAGCGTCCTGCAAGAAGTGAAATCAAACTCTGTTTTACTGAGACCAGGTGCTCCGATCTGCATGGGTTTGCCTGGATCGGCATCGACATGAATTTGTGTTGCATGCCCTCAAGTATGTGGGACAAATTGAACTTCAAACACCATGAATTGTTGGAACGCTCATGCGAGCGAACTGTCTTCCCTGCTATTCTGGTGCAGGCAGTTGGTGGCCGAACGTGCAGGCAGTTGGTGGCAAGTTCAAGCTGACCACGTTTTTTGGGTGGTGCGGATGAAGGATGAGACTGAGTGGAGTTGCTGAACTGAGCTGCTTTTTGGGGAAGGTGGACCTGACAAAGGTGCTTATTATATATTGCACTCAATCGGCACTCTTTTGCGTCCAGTCACCCGAAGGTTTT